CCCCCCCGCCTTCTGCCAGTCAACATGAACGAGCACTCCATCTGGATCCTGTCGGTCTTCATGACGATCTTCTTCGTCTGGTGGCTGGTCAACACCATCCAAGTGGCCTTGTACCTGAAGCAGCGCGACAATGAGGAGCGCGATGCCATCGACTACTACCTGAACATTGACGGGACCATCCGTCGGATTTCTCGCGTCTCGGCCAACTCCGAGTCGGGAGAGATGAGCTGCGCCGAGTATGTGCACGAAATCGACCTGCTGATGCACAAGGCCAAGCGCTTCTACGGGCTGTGCTTCGGCATGTCGGACTATGCGGCCATCGAGCCGGAGCGCACTTGGACCAAGACCCTTCCTCTTTTTGCCGCGGCCCCGCCGGTGGCCCACCGGGTGACCCCCTCCTTGTCCAGCCTCGCCGTGGGTGGCGGCGCGGCTGCCTTGCTGCAGATCGCCAACCCGCTGGTCTCGGCGGCGGTGTCCATGCATCAGGGCGGTGAGTTTGACCGGGAGCCCGGCCGGCGCCAGAGCATCAGCTCGGCGGCCCCGAACGCCAAGGCGCTCTACGATCCGACTGCCCGATTCCAGAACACCTTCAACTACCTATTCCGCACCAGTACGTCCTTCTGGGGCTTTTCCTTCCGCAGCCGAGAGCATCAATGGTGGAGAGGCGAGGCGAGGAGAGAGTATAGGGCGCGAGCACCGGCGGCCCGGCAGGCGGAGGCGACCCGGCCGCCGAGGGCCTTTGAATGCTGCGGCGGATCGGCCCAGGGCCGAAAGGTGGGCGAATGGCGCGATAACCCGTCTGTCGGGTCGCACCTGCCCTGCCGGGGTGGACCGGTGTCGTGTGTAAATGCGGGCACCCATGCGTGGAGCCTTCGTGTGATGGTGCCCATACACACACACGCGCGCGCGCGCGCGCGCATGGGCGGGAATTCGGTCGCACAGCCCCAGTCGCTGGGAACCCGATAAAAAGGGCAGGGCACTACGAAGTGCCCCCCGCCCGCCCGGCCTCCGACCCTTCATCCGAACGGGGGACAGGCTCCGGGGGACGGGGCTAGGGGGGGGGGGTGCCATGGCGCGAGACAGAAGCATGTGCCCGGGCGAGCATGGGTAAACAGGGAAGCCCGAGCGTCCACTGACAGTCCATTATGGCCTTTCCCGCGTATGTGTGGGGACATCCACGAAAAAAAAACACTTCGGTCCGCCGGCCCTGTGTCGCGTGTTGGGTCGCCATGTATCTCTGTGTTGTTGTTTTTTTTTCTTCGGCGCGCGCACGCTCGTGCGAACACACAGTCTACGGGACCTTCGCTGAGGCCGAGCGCTCGGCCCGGCGCATTTTTGCCATCCATTCACGTGCGGCCGGCAAGCTCCGCCACGAGGATGTCACCCCCGAGCTGGGGGATCTGTACGAGCCCGTGCGCATGTCCCCCGCTGAGGAGGCCGCCGCGGCGAATCCCCCCCCCTCGATGCACCCGCAGGCCACCACCCGGGTGCCGTACCATGAGGGTCAGCGCTTCCTGGCCACCCAGTCGTCGGCCCTCTACTGGGTGGCTGCCGTCCTGCAGTACATCTCCATCATCGCGGCCGAGTTGGTGCGTCCCCCCACTCTTCCCCCAGCCCCCTTGCCACATCCCCTGCGCCGAGCCATCGACGGCATCAGTGGCGTGTGGTCCCTTTCGTTCGAGTGTAAGCGCGCGTGCGCTGGGGGGGGGGCGCGTCTGTGCAAAAGGCCAGGGCAGCGGGGCGAGGGAGAGGGGGGCCAGATGCGCGCGCCCTGCAAGCGAGAAAATGTCCACGCTGCAGATTGGCACGCGTTGTTCACCACTCTCGGCAGGTTTGTTTTTTTTTTCGCCCAGGGGGTCGGGCGCACTGTGACCGAGCATGCGCATGGGTGTGCGGCGCACACGCGCGACCCACCATATTGGTTCCGAGTACGTTGTCCAAACGCACACGCGCGGGCGGCCGGGCAGGCGCATGCATGCGCGTGTGTGTGTCTGAGTGTCTGTGAGTTTGTGTGTGTGTGTGCGCGCGCACGCGCACGCGCGGGTTGCAAGGCCCCCTCTTCGCTCCGATGCGCGCCCCAGTGCTTCCATCGGGGTGGGGGCCTTGGAACGGGAGGGGGGTTAGCGACGGCAACAACAGTTGCCACGGGGCCGCCGGGGGCCACCCCGCCGCGCCAGTACGCGTGCGTCCTGGTGACTGTGTGCTTGCTTCGCGCATTATTAAATGCTACTGGGGACTGCCTATTCTGGGAACCGCCCGACCGCCCGTCCCCCACCCGGCCCTCGCCCCCGGGGGGGTGGGGCAGGGCGAAGAGGACGTGGGCCCGCCGCCCGTCCCCATCCCCGCCCTGGACAAGGGGCGGGCTGGTGCGCCCGCAGGGGGCGATGTGGCGGCACGCGCATTCGCGCGCCCCGGTATGCAAGGTTGCTCAACGATTGTCCCACGGCGTCTGCCAGATGAGACTTGAGATGCCAGTATTTTGAGTGCACCCGTCTGCGGCATGAGTGGGACCCGGGGCCGGGTCGGCTTAACGACTGTTTGTGTGCGCAGATTTTTGTGCGTGTTGTGTGGGTGGGTGTGCGCGCGCGCGTGCCAGTACACACACACACACACACGCACGAACGCATGCACGCATGCCCTTGGGGCTTGTGCAGATGTGTCCATGTTTTCGGCCGCGCCTGCACGACTGGAACAGGGCGAGATTCACATGCCATTGGGCCCAGTAGGGGTAAGACACGCCCCTGGTCCACTTTAACTTGGTCCTGAAAGTGCGGATGTATTTCTCCCGCGCAAGTTGCTCCCCGGGGATGGGCACCTCTCATTCGAGCGGCGGGCTCTTCGGGTCCCAGTGTGTCGCCTTGTCGCGACCCCGCGGCACCCCGGGGGGCGCGGGGGTGCATGGAGTCCGGGTGCTCTTTGTGTGTGTTTGCCCGGGCTCTTTTTTTTTGGCCACCCCCGCCCCCATGCGTGGCTGCTGATGCTGGACCGCCCGGAAGGAGGGCAGTCGGTCCTGTCCATCGCGTGCACGCGAGTGGCAGCACCACGCCCCCCCCCCCCCCCCATGGGCTGCGGACACCCTCCCGGGCGGTCCGATGTGAGATGCTCACATCCGCCTGCATGGGAGGAGGGCAGCGCATGTCACTGAGTGTTAAGGAGCCGCCCCCGCTCTCGGCCGGCCCTCGCCACAGGCCTGCTCGCTTATTCGAGGATCGGCATCCTTCCGACACAAGGTGCCAGTGTGCCTGTCAAGCGGCGGGGCTGTGCCTGCTGTCCGCGGTCCCTCCTCTCGTGGGGCGGGGGGCCTGGACGAAGGGCTCCCCCGAAGTCGCCAGAGGGGCCCCGCTCACGGTGGGAGTCCCATTTCGCTTAGTGGATGGGGGTGGGTGCCGGGCGAGCTGACAAGGTGACCCTATACCCCCCCCCCCCCCCCCCCCCCCCGGGCCCGGGACTTGTCCGCTCCAGTGCGCCCCCGTCCGAAGAGCAGCGGGCCAGTGGAGAGGGGGCGCGTGGCGTCGAACGAACCATACGCATGCCCGACAAGCGCGCATGTATCCCCCGCCAAGGTTCGCCAACGTCGTGGTCGCCCGGCGTGTCTCCTTGGCTATTTCGCATGTGTGGGGGGCCCATGTGAGCGGGTGTCCGGAAAACGCATGCGTGCTCCCCTCTGCTCCCTGGCTCGTTTGCATGTCTGTGTGTGCTTGCGTGTGCGTGTGGGTGTGCGTGTGCGTGTTTTCGTACAAGCATCCACGCGGCGCGACATAGCCCCAGCTCCCCCAACCCGGGGCGCCCCGGGCCGCGCTCGATTTCGGGGCCCCCTTGTTTGGGCCCGCCCCGCCCCCCCCCCCCCCCCCCCCCCCCCCCCCCCCCCCCCCCCCGGCACCGGTGACTTGTGCCACTTTATGGCCATGCACCCTCGCGGGGCGAGACCCAACGCCCAGGCCCCGACGCTTCGGCTCGCGGTGTTTGTTCCTTCCAGAGAAGGGGACCGGGGTGTGCGAGGCCGCGAAGTGAAACCCGGGCAACTTTGACCAAGGGTGGTGCTCCTGGGGCGGGCGCACACATACACACGCGCGCGCGCGCACTCAAACATGCACCCTGGGGAGGCTCGAAGTAGCACCACTCACCACACCCGTGGGCGAGGTGGTCGCTGAAACATTTATTTTCTCGGGCCTCTTAGCACGTACGCAAATAGTGTCTTGTAATTAGCCAAGCGGCCGCCGGCCATTGTGGGCGAGGCCCCGCGTCCTGCCCCGGTCTCAGTGTCTGCCAGCCCCTGGACCGGGGGGGGGGGGGGCGCCAGAGTGACCCCCAGTCGGGCCATAAAGCCCGCTGCTTTCGCCCGGGCGGGGCGATCCCACACGCGGACACACACACACACACACGCACACGCGCATGCACGCATGCACGCATGCACGCGCACCGTATCCGCACCCGGTCCAGAGCGCGGGGCTTGGCCGACTGGGGCGAATGTGCCAATGACTCGCCCCAGCTGTGCCCCGCCCCCCAACCTCGGTGCCTCTCTTTGGCCTCCTACTCGGGCCGGGGGACGGGGGGCCGAAAAAAACCGCCCAACAGCGGCCCGGGAAAACCGTCGTTCCATCGGCCCGGTGGTCCGACACGCCCGGGGCCGGGCCGGCGCGCAGGTAGGCCGCTCTCCCTGGGGGGTGGGGGGGTGGGGCGTTTGGCAACGCAGCTGCTTTCTACGGTCCCATAGGGGACCAAGGAGGATGGCGCCCGGTGCACGAGGGAGGATACATCCCTGCAGTTGCATGGAAATTCGCAAGTGCATATCGACACGCCCATGGGTGTTTCTTAACATCCATGTGTGAGAGAGCATGCACAAGCGAATATCCAAGCCCGTGTACATGCGTGCATGCGCGCATGCGTGCTGGTGGGCCGGAAAGCCCGGCACCAAGTCCGGGAATTGCCTTCTTAATCCCCCGAAATTGAAGGGCCCCATTGTTGTCCCCTCGCCACTCCTTCTTGAGTAAGCAAGCTTGCCGGCGAGGCCGCGGCCAATTCCATGAACCGCGCGCCCCCTGGGGCGCACCGGCACGCGGAGCCCGTCCGCATGAAGCTGTCCGTGAATGTGTGCCTTGCGAGAAAAATGGACCGCCATGCTGTACGCGAGCCCCCTGCACGCGGCAGCTCCAAGCCAGGGGGCTGTCCCAAAGGGGGCCAGCAATGCAGCGGCCCCTTTCTTAGTGCCTGTGTCCCAGTGGCCCGGCTCCTTTCCCCCCCCCCCCCCCC